CCTCCCCTCCTTTATCCTCTCTTCCTTCTTTCTCTCTCCTCTTTCTTTTTGAGGGGGAGAAGGAGGGATGATCTGATACTAGTTTACACAGCTTGACTATTAACATTAAAGATTGGTTTCTTAAACAAAATAATTTTCTAACTTGGACCTAGATCAAAGGAAAGGCTTTCCAAAAATAGCTTCCACCAGCACTGAGGCTAGAAAGGGAAACTATGTAGAAGATTGCACCTGCTACCAATTATCGTGTCAGTGAACAAGCAATCCAGTCTCCTAAGGGGCAGGAATCCCTTTTAGTTAGTGAACAATCACTTGAAAGAACTGCCACCTTGCTTCTCACAATAAAGTTTGAGACATGGTATGCAGCACCTGAACTAGTGAAATACTCTTCAAGACATGTTTATCGCTCTGAGCAGAGAAAATGCACTTGGGCCAACCTGCAGTACTTCCCTCATTTTCCCAAGCTGGGAAAATTAACACTTTTGTAGTCAGGCTTCTTCATTTGTGATGTGCACTGTCAATGGTTACACTGCCAACCAGTTCAGAATGGTGTTTACTACAACAGGCTACCAAAACACTGCATCCTTTGCAGAAGGAAGGCTCCAGTGGATTTGAGCGCACTCTTCCCCTTCTTCTGTGCACAGGAGACCCTGTTGCACCAGCTCAACCTTTGTTATGCTCACTGGATGGAGACAGTTCAGCTAACTCGAAGCAGCAGGTGGTTTCTTTGCGAAACCTGAAGACAAAATATTCACCCACTGTCACCTGCCTCACTGTTCGCTTTGGTTCTGGGGCTGTCTTGATGTGCACACTACAAGAATTGGTCATAACAGTGTTCTTCCTCTTTACGTGCATTGGTTTAAATAAAACATAATACTCAGAAGTTTGCACAATGATTCCCCAATTCAAAAGGGAATTAATTGGATAAAAGGGAAATGAAATCCAATTTCCATATATAATCCTTATTTAAACATATACTTGGCTTTACCAACTTCTGAACAAAATATCATGAAAATCATATGTATTGTTTGAAAAGCAGATGTAAACTCTAACACTCTATGTCTGAGATTGGTTGCACTAATGTTGCTTTCTTTACTTATATTCTTAATGTTTCAGATATTGGAGACCTTCACCTTGCAAAAGCCGTTTTCGCTTTTACACAGAGTGAACTGGTTGCCTTGATTCAATTTACCAAATTTGGGCTGTTTCCTGGCGATGGAACTTACCCATGAACACGTTTCAAACACTTAATATGTTGCTTTTCTAAGTTCTTTCCAAACAAAATATCAGAAAGTGTTTTTCAGTTAGTATTTTCCTGTACCAGATTTTTGGAAGAGCTTGAAAAGAAGTCTTTTACAGCAAATTTCCAGCCTCAAATAAAGAAACTAACTTTTCATTCAGCCCCACCAAACATCAAGAAAAAGTTTCTAAAAAAAAAAAAAAAAAAATGACACTATTTTAAGCTAAGGTTAACTCCTCTGAAATTTGTAGAGCCAATTCTGAAATCTGAACTACTATTTTTTGAAAGCAGTACATCACACTCAGTGATCAGCAGCAGCACCCATTTTATCACTCTACCTCCGGCATCTCACAGTCTTAATTTTGCACTCAGATACCCCAGCTTTAACTAAAGGAAAATGCACTGGCTTTTCTGTGTTCTACAGGCTGTGGGCTTAAAAAAACGTGTATATATTTTTATGTTCCCACTAGTTCATTATCTTGTCCAAAGAAAGGGAAAGAAATAAGAAAAAGACTATCTAGGAGGGTGGGTGTAGTGCAATTGTGGCTGATGTATTCAGTGACGAGCCCTGGATCTTTCACTCATTTTAATGAATCTGTTGCTTAACACAATAATTTTAAAGTATTTATTTAATAAATAGACAAGCTCTGTTTTTATTTAATTTACAACGTAAAAGATATTTAGATAATTTTACACCCATTTTCTTTGCACATATTCTCTGCGTCTCCAAGCACAGCTGTGATTCTTACAACTGCAGCTCTATCTTCAGCCTAGGATTTACTCCATGGATTTACAAGGATGAATTTATATACAGTACTTCAGTCCTACTTTCTTTACAAAAGCTTTCAGCACTTACGAGTTTACCTCCACTGAGAATCTACTCTGAAAGATTCCTTGTATCATCTCTTTGCATTTTGGAAGGTAGAGAAGCTGTTGCACATATTAGGAGTTACTCATTCAAGACACTTAGCATTCCATCCTTTTTCTGAAGAACATTGTCCCAGAGCAAATCAGGGCAAAGCAGGAGGAAAGGCAGGGTAGTCCTCACTGTTCAAATTAACAAAACATTCCATCATCAGCAAGTTACAAACAAGCAGAGAAACCACACAAGGTAATACTCTACTACATTTCTGCATTCTGGCTATTTAAGTTCTTAGTCTTATTAAATTTGAAGTTATTCTCTTACATGGTACAGAGAGAGGGCAGATACAAAGGAGTCCTTACAAGATAGAGACCCAACTGGTCTTAAAATATTCTCTCCTTTCTTTCCTTTCAACAAACTCATTTAAAGAAGTAGTCACTTCGTCATTGTACATACAGAGACAGGAAATTCTGAACTAATCTTGGCTTTGGAATGTAAAGATAAAGGTACATACTTTTATTTTACTTCTCTAAGGCAGATATCAAATGTTAATAAGTACCAATTATCCTTTCCTAGTATTCCACTCTTTTGTTGCAAATATTAGGAACATTTCCCTATTAAAACATTCCCAGAAATGACAACTAAAATGTTAGAAAACAAGCTACCATCACCTCCACCTCCAAGATTCTTATTTTGTCAAATGTAAGCAAAACAAAGGTGTTTCCCTGTAATACAGTATTTTCCCCAAATTAGAAAATAAGATGATCCTGCAAATGCTTGCAATATGAGAATTTTTCACTCTCACACATTTCTCATGTTCACAAGACTATCTTGAGCTTTTAAGGAGGACCACTGTGCTCAGACTGAAGACGCACACAGGCTGAATGGCACAAGTACATTCACCCCAATGCGGAAGCTCACACAAGTACACAATCATCTTGAAGTACAAAAGAAACAATTTTAATTAGCTCACTGGAACTGTAATTGTTACTCACTCAATGCAGAGATATGCATTGCATTCCTTGTGATTACGATACAAAACCATACATGTTCCCCTTTTCAGCCATTTTATCCTGGAGCTAAACATGCAACTGCTGTGCACAAAATAGATACTGAACCACTGATCCAAGAGTCTGTAAAGCTAAAAAAAATGGACAACAAGATCTAGGATCTTTCTTCCATGGATGCAGACACAAACACAACTGCTGACAGTCACAATATTCTAACTAGGAATGCCAGACGATTTACTGTTCTTTTGATAAATATTGCATAATGAAAAAGCATGAAAAAAGAATCAACATTTATTATTAAAAAAACTATGATTGCAATCGCATGAACTCTGTACACAATGTACACTTCTGTAGTGACTTCTGCTCACGTCTCTGTCATCATGCAAAAAAAGAAAAGAAGGAAGTCTACAGTAACATGTCTATGTTATATTTTTTGTTATTACTATCTTCAAGGGTGCTTAAATCCAGCTTCTAATTGTACCATCCATGTTCTAAAATGCAGTTCACTTTTCAACATAACCTGCTAGCTCCTTCTAAAATCAAATTTCTGATTTTGTCTAGCTGCAACTTCCGATCTAATTCTGCTCTTCTTTCAGGTTCGTAACATGAAAATGGAAGAGAATCACCATTCGCCACTGATTTTATGAACTTAATACTTTCCAAAGGCAGCAAACCTAGAATACTTCAACAGTATTTTTTATGGGGTTTTGCAATTATTTCACGTACATTTGAAATCTGAAGCAATTACTCACATTTTTGGGCACGTTCGGTGATTCCAAACCTTTTAGTTCAAGGTCTTTACCAAACTATTACATTTCTCCTCCACATTTCTCCCCCACAGGAAAACTGTCAGAAATATACAACATTCAAACTTCCTTATTTGTCTCTATCACTGAATGTTCAAAAGAGGGATGAAAAAAAGTCACAGTTCCTCTAACTAGGCTGCCTCAACATATTCTGCTTCAGCTTACGGCGTCCAAGCATGTAACAGTGCACAGTTTTAGAGGCTCTGATATTCACTCGTACCAGATAGCTGTGCCTGCAGATTAAGTTGCAGATTCAGACCAAAGAATCAAGAAATCTAAATTTGCTTGGATAAAAAGAGCATGAAAGAAGCCCAACAGAAAAGAACATCACAAAAGTTACAAGCAGTTCATTCCCGTAGAAGGAATAATTTTGTTTTAGAATGGAATTACTCTGCAATACTTCATGTAATCTGACCAACCAGTGACTCTACCACCTCCAGTGGGGTCAGTGTTCAGCTATGCCCAGAGCAGCATTACTTCACACCCGAACCTGATGAACCCTAACACAAAGTGCATGTAGTACAGAGCTAAAGAAGAAAACACTGGCCAACACTGAAATGATCAGCAGTAAGTCAGCCATCACATCCTTAGTACTTGACTTTCAACACTTCTATCAATTCTCTATCGTTGTTTTGTCAAAAACAAAATCAGAAGTTTGATAAGAAATAAGCCCTTTTTTAAAGCCACTTTCCCAGGTGTCAAATCTTTGATGTATTATGCACCATTCGGAAGCCAGATAATCGCTTACTTTGGCATAAATTTTGCTCTGTTAAAAAATACTACCACAACACATCAAAACATAAGTAAATCTATATATTTTCTGTATTTAAGTTCCATATTCTAGTTCCTCAAATGCCGGGCTAATTATATTATTACAGAAGGACGGAACGTTCCAGCTTGCTTTCAGATTGGTGCATTTGCTCGCCGCTCTCCGCGTACAGCCAGCCACTCCTTTCCCGGGACGAGCCCCGCCGCTTTGCTGCTCCCTGCGCCCCGCTCTCGTTGCCGGAGGCGGCTGCCAGACCCCGGCCCACCCTGCTCGCTTCTAGCAAGTGCGGCCCCCGCCCGGCGTGGCCCCCACTCACCACTGCCAAGGCTCCTCCGCTCACTGCCTACTGCCGCCCACCGGCGGCTCCTGCCGCTCTCCGGAGCAAGCGGGGCGGCGCGGCTCCGCCAAGAGTGGAGCTGTACCCCAGCTAGGCGTTGCGGGAGCCGCCGCTTCCTCGTTTTCTCTCGCAGCCGCGGCCACTTCCTCAACGAACTGTCGGCTCTCTGCCCCCTCCCTCGGGGCAATTCCGGCCCTCGGCCCGCCAGACCGTCCGTCGAAGAGGGTGCGCGGTGTGGGACCGGCGGCGCCCCGAAGTGCGGGTCGCTGCGTCCCGTGGCGTGATGTGAACGTGGGGCTGCTCAGCAGCGCGAGTGGGAAAGCAAAGGGCGGCAAGTGTGGTCGTCTCTTGGGAGAAAAGGAATAGACCCACTGATTGTCAGCATCGAAATTCAATCTATTTCTGTGCTTTTGTGTTTTGGTGAGAAAATTGCTTTTGGAGGAGAAAAACGGTTCATATTTGAAACTGTATCGGGTCTTCGTGCTGTATTTCAATCAAAAATATATTTCGGTCATAAATACGGTATTTACTAGCTTTGCAGCAGCTGCTGGTGCGGAAGAGACTACACGGGCTCTATGCAGAGAGCTGAAAAAAAGCTCCACTCCAAGGCTCCACGTAGCCGGGAGTCAGCTCCCGCCGCAGAGCAACAGCTTTCTCCAGGACGCGCTGCTCCCTGACACCAAGCTGTACCACAGGCACCCGCAGCCACACCTTCTCTTTTGGCCATGGTCACTGCGTGACGGTGCTGTGTCCCGTGATGGGCAGCGCTGGCGGGAGGCAAGTTCTGTTTCCTGCTTTGTTGTAGTAAATGATTGCTGCAGTGTTGGGCCCACTTATTGTAAGAAAGAGGCGCTGCGAGGAAGTACTGGCTCTCCTTCTGAGCCATTATGCTAAACAGACCTGCCAAAGGGCAAAAGCCTCATGTTTCATACCAGTTAAGAGGGTCCCTTCTTTTGGTTTGATTGCTACAGTGCAGATACTTTTCTGAATTGGCATTGCCTTTGTGTTAGAACAAGGCAAAGAATTAAAAAACCTTGAATGTCTTTTGGTGGTGTAGCTGTTTTCCTAAAACCATCCAAAGTAGAGCACAATCTATGGGAAATTTGGGAAATGACTTTGGAAATGACTTTTGGAAAGTCATTACTGTGCTACAAGCAAGATTTCAAGCAGAAGCTTAATCATAAATTGGTGAAAAAATGACTTTAAATTATATGTGAGCAAGAGTATTTGACCTGGTAAGGGTGGAGTTAACTTTCTGCAGCAGCTGACGTGGTGCCTATCTGGGCTTTTGAGTAGTAGAGTATGAGTAACACATTTTCTTTGCTGCTGGGCACTGCTGCTCAGTGGTAAGGCCGCCTGTGTTTTGTACTCTGCCCCAGTCCTCACCAAGTAAGCAAGCAATGGGCAAGATGGAAGGGGGTGGTGATGAGACCAGCTCCAGCAGAGGGAGGGTTATACCACAGCCAGAATCAACATGGGGATAAATGGAAAAGGGCAGGAGCTACTGTTATCTTCCTGCTCACAGACCAGCTGAGCATCACTCACCTCATGGAGGAGGTGAGTGACTGCATCGATAGGATCTTCGCCCTTCCTTCACTTGTTCCTATCTCAACGCATGTTTTCTTGCTTTGCCCTTTCCAGTTTTTTCCACCATCTGCTGTGCAGGGGAAATTTAGCAAGTGGCTGTGTGGGTGCTTGTCTGCTGGTCAGGATTAATGCAAAACAAAAGTTAGGGAAGAAAATATTTTGTAATGCTGTGTGAAATAATTGTTACCTTATTTTTTTGGTAGGGGGCTCACAACATCGTAAGATATTATTTTATGTTATGAACCTTTTCGGTAATGTGTGGCTCTGTAGGAGACCTGTAACTAATAAACTAATTCCTCTAATTAATGTATAGGAGGGAATTAATGTCTGGCAAAATCAGGCAGATTATGTTCTCTAAAGATGCAGCAGATTTGTGGAATCTCTTCCCCAGTGTGAATTCCTACAGTAGAAACCGATAGTTTGTCCATAGGCTCCCACTAGCTGTTCCGTATAACTCCAGTAGTTTATTTGTAATCCTTCATAGTTTTTGTAAGCATGTGAGTGATGCTTCAAATGCTTACCTTATTACAAACATGATTTGAAAGGCATCTGTTTTCAGAAGATAATGCAGTTTTCCCTAAGACCAGGATACGTGTAGTGTGGTGGGGGCTTTGCAGCAACACAACTATTTACATATAAGTGAGTGTGAGTAGGAGAGGATCTTGGCTGAAATGCCATGACTCTGGTGAAACAAAGCTGATATCCTGTTGGAAGTCTGTTACAGGCTACTTAACAAGGATTAAGAGACAGATGAAGCATTCCGTGAGCAGCTGGCAGAAAGTCATGCCATTGCTAGAGCTTGTTTTGGGGGACTTCAGCTTGCCTGACATTTGCAGTAAAAACAATGACCACAGAATGATTGAGTTCTCAATTCTTGGTGAAATATGGGAGCAGGTGAGCAAAACTTGGACTTCTGGAGGTATACTTTGGACTGTTTAGGATACTGGTTCAGAGAGTCTATTGGGATACGGTCGTAAAGGGGTCCAGACAGCTGGGCGTGCCTCAGGAATGAAACCTGAAAGGCACAGGAACAAACCATCCCTGTGTGCTATAAGATGAACTGAGGGGAAAGAGAACCAAAGTGGCAGAACAGGTAACTTTCACTGAGAGGGGGGAAAAGAAGGTAGTTCACTGCCTTTGGAAGAGGGACCTGCAGCTCGGGAACAAGTATGAGGATGTTGGTAGGACATGCAAAGAGAAAATTAGAAAATTGAGCTATAAATTAATCTGGTTAACATTGTCTAAGGTAACAAAAACTGTTTTTTTTACACATATATTAACAGCAAGGCAAAGGTCAAGAGGAGTCATTAACCTTTATTGAATGCGGTGGGAAATGTTTCCTTATCCATCAAAAAGACAGAAGTGATTAATGCACTCTTCATTTTGTGTTTAGCTGTCAAATAGTCATCCTCAGAATACTTAGTCCCCTGAGCTGGAAGACAGGGATGAGGGGCAGTATAAACTCCCTCATAAAACAGCAACCTGCCACTGGCAAATGAAGTTGCCTAGGTGCTGTCCATCATATTTGAAAGGTCATGGCAATCTAGTGAAGTTCTCAGTGATGGGAAAAAGGGGAAACATAACCCCTATCTTCAAGAAGGGAAAAAAAGATGCGAGAAGCCACAAGCCAGTCAGTCTCACCTCTGTGCCTGGCAGGATCATGGAGCAGATCTTCCTGAAGACCCTACTAAGGCACATGGGAAACAAAGATGAGGTGGTTGGTGGTAACCAACACAGCTTCACCAAGGGCCAATCACGCCTGACAAATTTGATGGCCTTTTATGATGGAGTTACAGCATCAGTGGATGAAGGAAGAGCAAAAAATGTCATCTTCCTGGCCTTGTGCAAAGCTTTTAACACTTTCCCACATGATATCCTGGTTGTTAAATTGGAAAAAAAAAAAGGATTTGATGAACAGACCTCATGCTGGATAAGGAATTGGCTAAGTGGTTGCACTCAGCTGCAGACAGTGGCTCAGTGTCCAAATGGAGACCGGTGATGGGTGGCTTTCCTCAGAGATTGATGCTGGGACTGTTGCTATGTAAGATCTTTGTAGGTGACGTGGACAGTGAGATCAAGTGCACCCTTAGCAAGTTCGCAGATGACACCAAGCTGAATGGTGCTGTTGACACCTTAAAGAGAAGAGGATGCTATCCAGAGGGACCTGGAAAGGCTTGAGGGGTGGGCTGCCAACCTCATGAAGTTTAACAGGGCACAGTGCAACGTCCTGTACTTGGGTCGAGGCAATCCCAAGCACAGATACAGACTGAGTGGAGAATGGCTTGAGAGCAGCCCTGAGAAGAAGTATTTGGGGATGACAGTTGATGAAATACTCAACGTGAGCTGACAGTGTGAGCTTGCAACCAGAATGCCAATTGTATACTCAGTTGAATCAAGAGCAGTGTGGCCAACAGGCCGAGAGAGGTGATTCTGCCCTCTACTCTGCTCTCATGAGGCCACACCTGGAGTACTGCATCCAGTTCTGGGGCCCCTCAACACAGGAAGGACATCAGGCTGTTGGAGCGGGTCCAGAGGAGAGCAGTTAAGATGATCAGAGGGCTGGAGCACCTCCGCTGTGTAGACAAGCTGAGAGAATTGTGGCTGTTGAGCCTGCAGAAGAGAAGGCTCCAGGGGGATCTTATAGTAGCGTTCCAATAACTGAAGTGGGCCTATTGGAAAGCTGGGAAGGGACTTTTTAAAAGGGCACGTAGCGACAGAACAAAGGGTTTAAATAGCTTTGAACTGGAAGAGGGTAGAATTAGATTACATATTAGGAAGTCTTTACCATGAGGGTGGTGAGACACTTGATCTGCCATCTTATTTATGACTTGCCTCTTATGTTTGTATTGGAGGCATTGATATTATATTAATTCCCTTTCACTGAAAAAGGGACAGGGAATTCCTGCATATTAAATAACTTCAAAAAGTTCTGAAAATGAACCTACTTGTATACTTACCCTTACAGTAATATCAGGTTAGAATATCAGGAGAGAATACAGACAGAACAGAATATTAGAATTAGACTTTCCAATGTGATGCCCCTCTACAGGAAGGGTCAGAAAGAGAATCTAGGGAACTGCATGTCTGTCAGCCTGATCTTGGTATATATATGTCTGGTTATGGAGCCAGATCATCCTGAGTGTGATCATGTAGTATGTGAGGTACAATTGTAGGATCAGGGCCAGCCAGCATGGGTTCACGAAAGACACGTCCTGCTTAATGAACTTCATTTTCTTCTATGGCTAGGTGTCCTGTGTGGTGGATGAAGGAAAGGCTGTAGGTGTAATCTACCTAGATTTTGGTAAAGCCACAGTATTCTCCTAAGAAGCTGACAGCTCTTGGCATACACATGTGTAGCTTTTGCTGGGTAAAAAACTGTTTGGATGTCTGGGCCCAAATACTGTTGGTGAAAGGAGTTAAACCCAGCTGGCAAATGGTTGTTAGTGGTATTCCTTTAGGAGTTGGTGTTGGGGCTGGCTCCGTTTAATTTTTTTATTGATGATCTGGATGAGGGGATTGA